CTAAGTTTATGCGGATATGTAGGGATGCCAATTTAAGAATCTCTATACGGAAATCAGAATTCTTCCTCAAGAAGGTACACTGGTGTGGAAGAATCATAGATGGCTCAGGAGTGCAGTTCGATCCGAGAAATCTCGGTGGTCTAAAAGACCTACACATGGCCATAATAGCGGGCGAACTCTGTGAATACGTGCACTGTCTACAGCGGATGTCGCATTCACTTCTCGACTTCACCAAACGTATTGAACCCCTGAAGGAGATTTTGGGGGAAGCGTACAAGAGAGCTGGATCGCGTAAGAAGAAAGCAGTGCAGCGTATACGATTGGAAGCACTTTCTTGGGACAGCAGGTATAAAAGACTGATAAAGAGTTCCAAATGGAACTCACAAATTTAGTTAAGCTGGCACACAGGGACACGGAAAAGGCCTTGTGTAGTTACACAGATGCGTCAGACGCGGATTGGTCCGGAGTGGTTACGCAGACGAGCCTTGGCGACCTGAAGGAACAATTTGAAAACCAAAAGCACGAGCCCTTTGCTTTTTTGGGGGCGGCTTTTAAAGGAGCAGAAGAGTTTTGGACCACTTTTGAAAAAGAAGCATATGCGATTTACATGGTATTCAAGAAACTATATTTCATGTTACTGGCTGAAGAAAATACACACTTGTACACGGACCACAGGAACTCGATATTTGTTTTCAGTCCACTTGCACTAGAACCGGCCCTGGGAAGGCATATAGTGAACAAGGTGCAGCGCCCGGGACTGTACCTGTCAAAGTTTTCATACATTATCGAGTGCAAACCTGGGGACAAGAGCGTGATTGCAGATATAATGAAAAGGTAGTGCCACGGATACTGTGGTTAAAGGCTTGCTGTCAAGAGAATAACGCATAAATTAATGGAACACGATATGGTACCAACTCCACTTGTGGAGGATTTGAAGTACCCAGGCGAGGTAATGATTCGCAAATTGCAGTTGAGGCATGATAGACATGCCCCTCCTAGCATAACCAAGAGAGACAAGGAACTCTGGACCGTCAAGGGAAAGGTCTGGATACCCGGCCACGACATTGACTTGCAGATAAAAATACTCTTTGTCTGCCACTGTGGCTCAATGGGGCATCGCGAGCGTGATTCAATGCTTGGTGCATTGAAGGAGTCATACAATTGGAGGAGTATGCAAGATGATACCTCCGAATTTGTCGCTGCATGTTTACACTGCGTAACAGGTAAAGCAGGGCATAAGATGCTACTTCCATTATCTCTAACTACGCACGCTACACGCTCGAACGAAGTCGTTAATTTCGATTTTTTGTACATGGGGCCGGGGCTCGCAGGTATGAGGTACATTTTGGTGATCCGCGATGACTAATCTTCCTATGTATGGCTTGTAGCGGAGAAACAAGCCGATGCACAGACGGCAGGGGATGGACTTGCAAATTGGATAAGAGTTTTTACAGCGATGCCGCTTTGGGTTAGTGATCAAGGATCGCATTTCAAAAACGGCATCATAAAAGAACTCGCAAATGCCCACAATTTCAAGCACAACTTTACCGTCGCGTATTCGCCGTGGGTTCACGGCACAGTGGAGCGATGCATGAAAACCACACAAGAGGCACATTGATGCCAGACTGAACTGCGCCTTGGACCCCCGGATTGGACTTCAGTAGTAGAAATGATTCAGACAATTATGAACGACTCACGGCTTCGCCGCTTGGGTTCGCGTGTGGACGGGGCTCTATGTACGCCACTGGAAGTTGTGACGGGAATTCCTCCGACGCGCACGAATGTTGCATATGAACCAAATCGGCACAACTGTGGCCGTGGCGACAAAAAATGTGGAGAAGGCAAGGGCGCTACAAGTGTTACAGATTGAGGTGTTGCAAGGTGCTTTCGGTATCATGCACAAGGACGTTGTGGAGGAGGTCTCGAGAAACCACGTGAGACAGATTGAGCACCATAAAAGGAAAACCAACCTTATCCACCCAAATTACAGCATAGGGGATTTTGCGTTGGTACGTCGTGCGCAGAAAAAAGGACATAAACAAGCCTTTCGTTGGATTGGACCTGGCAGGATTACGGCAATAGTCGGATACATGGTCTAAAATGTGGAAAACGTGCTGAGACAGAGGGTACACGCAGCGAGGCTTCTACTGTATCGCGCCGACTTGGACGGGAAGATGTTATTTGAAGACTTGATGAAGTACATAGAACACGGCGAGGCAACATATGAGTTGGTAGACCAGTTAATGGATATCTCAGGAAATCAGAAGGATGGCATCTTTTTGAAAGTACAGTGGTTAGTTTTATCTGACAAGAAAGACTGGACGTGCCAGAAACTAGAAGAGTTGCATGAAGATGTGCCTGATCGAGTGGAGGAGTTTCTAAAGAGTACAGGAAAGAAGAGACTAGTGAAAGAGGCAAAACAAGTACTTGGTTTGTCAGGTTAATGGCGAGGATTTGCAAAGAGCACCCATACCATGGGGCGATGTGGACAACCTGCTCTGCGGAGAGCAAGGCCCATTGTCAACCAAGTAAAAAATTGGAGAGTGATGTTGAAATTATTTACTGGAAGAGAGGGACAATGAATGCTATCTTGAACTGCGCTCTCCCGGTACACAGGGGATGCACGAGACGACAGTACATAAGGACAAGGTAAGATAGAACAGATAAGAAAAAAAGGTATCGGTAGGTAAAAGCGTCTTCTGCAGTTTAGCTTCTTGTTCTTGCTACGACGTCACGTGTTTAAAGTTGACAAGGAGGCGATATCTGGAATGGAATTGGTGATGAAGACTGCGCGCCTGAGTGTTCCTTTCTGTGATGAAAGCACTGCCGGGATATGCTTTTAACTTTATGCTCGTATGATGTACAAGCATCGCCATTGGAAAGTGTGCAGAGGTTCTTGTCGGACATGAAGGCATGGGCGCCGGAACCATGCTTGTGTGCGCTGTGAACGAGTGCTTACATCGGGCCGGTGGAAATATGGTGGAAGTGTTTACGGTGCCCGATCAGTACACTGTACAGGTATGGAATGAGCAGATGGATACTTTCAAATGCATCAGTAGGGATGGATTTGCGTGAAATACTTGTTGGGTATGCGTGCGTGCAATGCAGATGGGAGCGACTTCGCAATTTTCAGATTCTCCAGAGAGGAGCTTGTCGAAAATTTTTGAGGCGCCTTGTCAGGAACATTGCCAACAAAGGCAAGGCACATAGTTGCATTGGCGGCAAGAACGCAAGTGTCCTTTTATCAGCGGCAGCGATCGCGCACACCTTTCTTGTTGCGTGATTGTATCGATCTGCGAGCATTTTCGCCACTCATTACCCATATTTATATATCTCATATCATTATCTTGTGTATCGCTGAGGAACCGAACGGCAGATGGTACACTGTGTCCACGTTAGCGGTTGACAGTTCCTACATTTCGTTTTGTCCATCCGTATTGCCCATCTTGCCCAGGTCACTGCCCAGCAATTTCCGTGCCCATACCGCTATGTGCAGACAAGTCAAGAGATAGAACGGCATGCTATCAGCTAATGGGGGTGGTGGTGGCTTGTTGAAGCCACCATGCGGACGGTTTTCTACGGCGGAGAGTATTCCCGTTCACAATGTCACCGGGTAGCACCCAAGTACAGCTCACTGTTCCGATGTTTGGCACAGCTTCACTGCAGCCATATTTATCCACACTGTACACAACAGCGCTTTTCTACGCCACTTGCATCGGGGATGAATATTGAATTGAAGTACACATGCACCACTTTGGTTTGTTGAGTCTCAGCCAGCACACGGCACAAACTCTGTCACTCTCGCAATCTCGCTCCCTCTAACTTCTGAAGACGCAAAGATCTCTGCGAATAAAATTTTGAAATACTGGGTAGATGCGAAGAATGCAGTCATGGTATTCTTGTGGTCATCATTCCATTGCTGCCTGCATGAAAATACGCTATCGGAGGCGTCTGTTACTGTGCCACCTTCGGGTGGCGTTCGCTTTGCGGGCAAGCCGCTTGTTGTCTTATTCACAGGTGAACTTCGATTGGTCGCGTTAGCTGCTTTTGCATCTCAAAGAATGCTGACCAATCTGTTCGTTTAAATGGGTGGAGTGCAATGCATGCTTGTTGCTGTAGTCTTGTGACGCAGTATTGGGAACACATCTCAAAATTTTCATTTTCTACGCACTAATTCTCACATGGGCATCGCTTCGTGAGGTTGCACCAACCTTCAGAACCAATGCAAAGGACGCAAAATATGAAAATTTTGAAGCAGGCATGAACGCGGTTGGAACAAAAGGCGATTGCCGCACACATGTGCGATGCTTTAATTAAAAAGGGAGCAGCGCAGCATACAGATAAAGGGTGTTCGTGTATCCCTTTCAGTCTTCTGTTTCATGATGCAAGACTGTACAGCACATTTTAGCTCGCCCTTTAACGAACGAAATCAACGCCTTGTAAGAGGGGCAGCAATGTCACAACTTTGCGAAATCAACGCCTTGTAAGAGAGGCAGCAGTGTCACAACTTTGCCGAGTATGGCACAGGCGCTAGTCGAAGTTCAGAGCGACGGAACACCATACATAGGAAGGTGAAGAGGGGAAATCTATATGACAACCGGGAGGTAAACCAGAGTCCGTCAAAACTCCTACAACAATTTGAAATGACAGCGAAGCTAGATATGCTCAGCACAGCCAATAGCGAACGCGTATGAGTATCAGCTTTCGAAAGCTGATACTCATACTCAAGCGCGTCTGTTTCTATTCGGCCGAAATCGGCCGAATAGAAACAGACACGCTTTCACATGCGAGCACTCTCATTCAAGAGTTGGACTAGACGTGTATTGTGGAGGTACACGTGGTACCAAGGGTACCGTAGAAGAAGCTCCATACTGCAAGCAGCTTCGTGCGCAACAAACCAGACGGGCTCCAGCGTCGAATTACGGGCAACATAACTTGTACGCTCTTTATATGCCCTCGGCTCCTTCGGGGGGTGCGAACAGAACTACAAACACGCGAACATGGTAGAGAAGCAACGTCCAGGATTGGCCGAAGAATGGTCACCTCCGCAGGGCACAACTACGCATGTGCCGCACCATGCCCTTGTTCGTATTGCGGCTGAGCATCAAGTGCCAGTGGAATCCTTAACCACTCTTACTGTGCAGAGCTCTGTTAGGCTTCTCTACTCTGCCGTTTTGGAGTACGCGGCGTTATCCGATCTTCAAGATCCAAAGACATCCTTCCCTCTATCTGTTGCTCACGTGAAATCCCTACGATCAAACGATGACTTCGACAGTGAAACTTTGACAAGTTTTCGGATGGCTATGATAACAATGGAACAAAAAAAGTTGAAAGGCGGGAAAGGCCTGTTAGATAAGAAGCTTGCACAGCCAAAATTTCGGCTCGGCTTGGGGGAAACTGTCATTGTCTGGCCACCCCCACCTCATCTTACGGCCGACTATCTCTGCAAACAAAACAGCGACGCAAAGCGTAGAATGGGAGAGCTCGATGCTCTTGCAACGAAAACGGAAGGTAGTTCTGAATCCAAAGTGCCAGAAGTTCCTGAAGAAGGGAGAGAGAATGGCGATGTAGCAGGTACGGATGACAACAGCACTGGTCTGCATATGCACATTGTACATTACTCCGTGGGAGAACCGCAGGAGGTGAACGGAACGCTTTCGACTCTCCGTGAACTGCTAATAGTCGGGCTTGACGGTTCCAAAAAGCTGCGTAACTTTGCAACGGAGATCTCTCAGTGGAGCGTTGACAAAGACATCTACGACGGCAACGACCACAAGTTTTCACTGTATCGATACCAATTTCGTCATGGAAGTGGTAAATGGTCATTAGAGGGCGTGAAGCGCTCAAGAACACCGGCATCTGTTATTCTTCCCGCGATGAGAATGAATAACATTCTCGAAGACGTCAAACACTTTCTTAAAGTGGAGACGCGTAAATGGTATGTCGAGCACGGTATGCCACATCGGCGTTCGTTTCTTTTTTTCGGACCACCCGGGACAGGCAAGACATCGACGATCCGTGTGATCGCGTCTCAATTCCAGCTCAACTGCTGTTTTCTGAGCATGACGAATCCAAAATTCAGCAACCAGGACCTCGCCCAGGCACTCACAGTGATCCCCGCGAACGCGCTTCTCGTACTTGAGGACGTGGATGCACTATTCAACAAGGACCGAACCAGCGCCGAGGCACCGAACCTCTCCTTTTCGAGCTTTCTGAACGCGTTGGACGGGTTGATCAGTGCGGATGGGGTCATCACGGTGATGACGACGAATCACATTGCCAAACTGGACAGCGCGTTGATCCGGGGCGGACGTGTGGATCGACGATTTCACTTTCCTAGTCCTGACGAGGAGCAGATCCAACAGCTATTCATGTCCTTCTACCCAGAGGCGGGGCAGGAAGTGGCACAGAAATTCGTGAGGGCAGTGTTTTCCAGGCTCGGGGACAAGGAGGCACGGTCGATCGCGACGTTGCAGCAGCTGTTCATCGATCAGCGGGAGAATTCGGCGGAAGAATGCGCGCGGTCAGTGGCCTCGTTCTTTGAAAGGTTTTATCCCAAGGGGGATACTTCCTTAAGGGGAGCAGACCATATCTATGGGTAGAGTCGTAGACGTCGACGTCGACGTAGAATTGGCTCGGTTTCCTGGAAAGATTCTACGGCGAGAGAAGGTTGTGTGTATTTTTTATTCAAATGCTAGGGGTACCGATGCTGTATCACGGGGCAGGCGTCAAGGACTTACACTTGGGCGGGGCTCGATAGGGCCGCGCCGTGATAGGGCATACGGGAAAGGGTGGCAGAGGCCAAACTGGACCAAACAGCGAAACTGATGCGTTGTAGTAGACGTATCTTGGCGGTCCCGTAAGATGAATATGTCCGGTTGGCAATGCGGTGAGCGAGGTACTCAAGGACTGCCATCGTGCGAGAGCTGGTCGCGCCGAGAGTATCAAATGCGAGCGGGACAAAGTGCCAGTCGAGTAGAGGGAGTGGGGAGTCAGGCTGGAGGTGAAATGCGTCACGCACTGTACGGGAATGGACGCGAAGCTTGTCCAAATCAGCAGCTTCCGCTGCACCCGCGAGGCCTTTCGCAGCGAGGGACATTGTAGAGCGACAGTAGGGGGAACGAACGGTTACGTCGTACGCAGTGGGGCGGTCCGGGAGAGCGCCCGAAGGAGGCGAGGCGGGCTGGACGAGAATATCGGCGGGGCGGTTCGCGGTATTCGGCAAGAGAGAAGGGACCTCAAGGTCGCAACAGAGACCGGCGGCGCGGAACGCGTGACGGGCGAGGAGGTTGCGTACAGTGTTATGACGGTGAACGACGCCGAAGCCATGACGGCATATTGCGGCATGATCACCGCGAGCGTCCATTGGCTTACAGCAATGCGAACATATGAGAGGCCGAATAGAGTCACAGTAGACGGGTGTGTCCAGATGCCGGCGTAGCATACAGGACCACACCGCAGAAGGGACTCGAGAGGTGAGTGAGGGGTGGCTGCATAGAAACGACGCTGCGCCCGGAGCACGGAGGGAATTGCACCGGGCACGTCGGCGGACAGAGGTGGCACTGTGGTTGCGAGGGAGAGGGTCAAGGTCCCACGCGGTGTGTTCCCAGTAGAGTCGAGAAGTGGCCCCCTGCATAGCCTGAATTAATGTGTGGTGTACGCGTTCAGGTCTAGACAAAAGGGCCTCTGGTTCAAATGGTCCGAGGGGAGAATGGGTCCCAAGAATGCCTCGGGTGCGGACCTCAGGGTTCAAGGCCCCTAGTACGTGGACGATATGACGACGGGCCATGCGGCGATAAAACGACTCGGAGGGGTTATGTGGGCCCTTCACACGAACAGGTGCCGCCTCAATTAAACTGGCAGCGTAGGACGCATGGATGAATGGTGACAGTGGGGTGAAGCCGTGTCCACCGAGGCGAAACGGAAGGCCTATTTGTGTAGCCATAGATGTGGAAACGGCCACATCATTAAACCGAGAATAAGCAGCGATTTGTTGTTCATCAAATTTTGTAGCTGCGGGGAGGGAGAGGTGGGGAGGTGTAAGGCGAAAAACATGCTCGACTTTGCATACCGAGCCTGTTACACGGTGAAGGTGAAACCGCGTACGCGCGTCGGGAATTTCATCAAGGAGGCTGAGGGAGGCATGGCATGATTGAACTTTGTTCATGAGATGTCGACGCACAAAGGCATCTGTGCCGAGCGGGGCACCCAGCAAGGCGACACCGCCTTCGCCGCAGTCGACGTGAAGGGGGAAGATACGGAGCAATTCGGACAACTTTTCTGGCATTACGGTCGGCCAGTATGCCCGGCACTTGTTGATATTGACGTGAAATCCGGACTGCGGGCCGTCATCACGAAGAATTCGGAGTGCCTTCATGACCTCCGAGATTGGCCCGACCAGAGTGCCGTCATCCGCGTACCAGCGGTTCAGGTCGAGACGGCACTCGCGGGTGAGACGACGCAGGAGCGGCTGGATTGCCAGCGAAAATAAGAGCATACTTGCCGGGTCCCCCTGTTGGGTGCCCTCCTGACTTTTCATCAGAAACCGCGGAGAAGAGGGCAGCACGAGATCAGGAACGGTGCGGCCATAGATTAGATTGAGAAAACGGGCGAGGGAAGGAGTCTGCAGAGGGAGACGATCCAGCAGGGACTGACGTGAGAAGGTGTTAAAGGCATTCCGCGCGTCTACGGAGACCATGATGTAGTCTGGGTTTCGACCGTGACGATGCATAAGCATGCGCGTGTCATGGACGATTGCGTCCATGCCCGAGGCAACCGAGTTGGCGAGCTGTTCTGGGAGAAGGTGATCGCGGGTGTCCTGGATGGCGGGGGGCAGAAGGACCTTCGTGACCAGACGGCGCAAAGCCTGCCCTACAGCAATCGGCCGTATTTTGTGAGGGCGGGGTTGGAGGGGAATCAGAGTGGCAGCAGCAAGGAGAGGCGCAGTTCTATCCGGAATGTCACCTCGGGCGAGACGTCGAACCAGGTTCGTCAATGCGGACAACCCCGTAACCCCAGCTTCCGGGCTGATAGTGGTGCGGGCTAAGAGCTGCAGGATACGCGGAGAGAGATGGTCCGGTCCTGCAGCGGATGTGGGATTAAGGGCGCGTGCCGCTCGGAGGACTTGACCTTCCGTAATTTCAGGGGCCGGGGGGAGGTCAGTCGGTGAGAGAGGCTGAACCGGGCTGGCAGGAGGAGGGTGAAGCGCGGTGAGTGTGTCGCGGGTGGCGGCAGCATGTAGATCGGGCAGCGGTTTGGCCTTGAGGGCCGACATTGCGCGTCCATATTGGGCATCGGCGGCCAGACGCATGGCACGGCCGATGCGGTGGCGAGATGTAGCGGAGGCTTGGTAACGACGGCTGTGACGCGTGCGGTAGTCAAGGTCGACCTGATGTGCAGCAAGGGCTTCGTGCCACAATGCAGCCCAATGCCGACCCGAGGAGGCGCGGCGAATCCGTTGGCGGAGGGCATGATGTTGCCCTGTGCGGGAACGCCATCCGGTTTCTCCACGGAACGAGCGTCGCAAGACAGCGATGGGAAGAATGTGTAGATGAATGAATGCGCGATGTGATTCAGTTGGGGTCATTGTGGCCGACGCAGCGCGGACAGTCTTGATGAGGAGCATCGTGAAACTGTGTAAGCACGAGGAAGGGATGGATGAGTAAACATGGGAGGAGCGTATGGGGCAGAGGAGGAGGTCACGCACAGTAGGGAGAGAGAGAGAGGGATGGGAGGAAGAAGGCCGGGTGGGAACAGGCGTGGGCAGCTGAGACAAGGGGGTCTCAGCGGACGAAATATTAGGGTGACTCATTGTGGCGA